GAGACTACATCTCACATACTTTGTACATGTTATCAGAAGGGATCAGTCCCTGGAGAAGGACATCATGCTTGGTAAAGTAGAGGGTCAGCAAAAAAAGAGGAAGCCCCTCAAAGGGATGGATTGACACAGTGTCTGCAGAAATGGGCTCAAACATAATTATTGTGAGGATAGCGCAAGACCGTGCAGTGTTTCATTCTGTTGTACACAGGATTGCTATGAGTTGGAACCAACTAGATGGCACCTAACAACAACAATATATATATATGTGTGTGTATGTGTATGTGTATATATGTATATGTATGTGTGTGTGTATATACCTATAGTCAAATATATATAGTCAAAGAATATAAAATATCCAAATGTTATAGATATTGGTTGCCTTGCTTTATGTTTTCTATGTTTGGCCCTTGAGCACTAGGACAAAAATTTACCATACGTGGGACCATGATATAAACAGGAATAAACAAATAACTGGTGGGAAAAACAGAACAGAAAATGAAACATTATAGAACAAATTAAATCATGACCTTAGAAAACAGGCCCACTGTGATGAAGAAAATAACTTGAAAATCTAGGTGTTTATCTCATACTTTCCAAGGTTAAAATGTGCTTTATATTTGTGTTGAATATATTCCTTTCCCATGAAGATTACAAAAATGACACATGATAACATGTACTTAGTACACAATAAGAAATATAAAATTGCTCCTGTTATTATTCCCATAATCATGTATCTTTCTTTAGATGCTGCATTATTTCTGAACTGCAGAAAGCTGTTCCCCTCACTATGCTGAAATTATGCCAACTGAAGAGACATATGTTGCAAATATTAACTTGACCTAAATATGACAAATTATTTGAGGAGATTAAATGCAATGATATGTTTGATTTTGGAACCACAGGAAAAACTTTAGAATGAGACAACTTTCTATAAACTATAAAAAAAAAAAAAAAACACTCCAAAATAGATACCCCTCTTCACTGGTTACCCACTGAAGTCAAGTGCTTGTGGGGCATCATCCAATGTGATTTTGATGCTTTCTTTTCTTCCTTCCCACTCACATCTTTTGGTACTGGGGGTAATGAGGAAGAATCTGACCAGAATTTCAGTAGTAGGTGTCCTGGGACACGTTGAAGGAAACATTTATCTTGCAGATTCTGCTCTCTACTTTTCTTTCCCCAAAAATATTTTAACTACCTGCCCTCAGGAATGGGCAATCCTTTGATGGTTTTGTGCAATATAGAGAATGCTGCACCTGTATAATATAACAGCGGCATTCTAAGATTCACTTACCTTAGAATCTATTACAGGTAGTCTCTGACTTATGATGGGCTTCCGTTCTGATGACTCCATCATAAGTCAGTTCTGATGTAAGTGGAATACCTCTTCTTTTTTTTTTTGTTTTTATTATTACTGACTTTTATTATCAGTATCTTTATAAATCTTATCTTTATTTGATTTGGGGGTTGGAAACATTACATAAAGCTTAGAGATATATTTTAATACATACATATTACTAATGATAAGATGTATACCAAAAAAAAGACAGTAGTAAGTGCAGTCATACCAAAAAAAAAAAAAAAAAAAAAAGGACAGTCCTAAGTGTAGTTCATCCTAACTCGAATACATTGTTTAAGTTGGGTAAGTTGGGGACTATCTGTACTATGAATTACTAAGCTCTTGTTTATTTAATAGCAGTCTAGTATCTACAATGCCTAAATTATCATCCTTGCAAAGGAATATATTACAACACTCATTCCTCATCACAGGTGACACCTTTTTCATTAATGAGAACTTGAAGGGTGCTTACCTGGCCGACTATCTTTTCCATGCCCTCTAGAAGTCGTTTGTTTTGTTCCTTAATTTCGATGGCTCTTGACAGGATAGCATCCGGGGCTTCTTGCATGCCACGCACTTCGGAGACTAGATGATACAGAGGGTCCTTCCAGGACCGCAACACTCTAAGTACCAGGTTCAGAAGGTCTTCGTGCTACACAGTCATAAAAAAAAAAAATTTAAATAGGCGTGATACAACAGGTTTACTTACATGTGATTTTTGCTAAGAGAGGCTGCACCTAACATATCTCTTTGTTATTTCTGCTTGTATGTAAAAATATTTCTGTAGGTGATACAAGTTGTAGAAACGTAGTAAAGTTTAAGCTACTGGCTTATTGTTGTGTGCCTTCGAATTGATTCTGACTCATAGCGACCCTATAGGACAAAGTAGAACTGCCCCATAGGGTATCCTAGGCTGTAATCTATATGGGAGCAGATCGCTAGGTCTTTTCTCCCATGAAGCAGCCGGTGGGTTCAAACTACCGACCTGATTAACAGACAAGTGCTTAATCATTATGCAACCACGGCTCCTTTATTGGCCTGTAAACCAAAAAACCAAAACTCGTTGCCGTCAAGCCGCTCCACGGAAACCTTATGGGACAGTTCTACTCTGTCCCATAGGGTCGCTATGACTCAGAAATGACTTGATGGCAACCGGTTTGTTTGTTTTTTTGGTATGTTATGGGATTTTTGTAAGGATTAAATGCAATAATGCCCATAAGATGTTTTGTAAAGTGTCTGAAAATGCTCTCAATAAATGTTCAATTTCTCCTTGTCTTGTTTTTTCCTTTTTCTTCTTATTACTATCATGATTATTATTAATTAGATTAGCAGACAGAAGGAATACTGGTGCCATTAATAAAATTGTAAAGAGAAGAACTGATTGTATTTGTAGGGCTATGTATGTAAAGATATTTATTTTAGATCATGGTAAGACTGTGGTTATGGCACTGAATCAGAAAGGAATCCGATTATAAGGACAAAAAATTGAACCTCAGGTAAATGATTGGGCATTGATAGGCAGATTTTGTTGTTATTGGAATAGAGGCAGTTGTTGCAGCTATCAGAAGCAAAATATTATTACAGCGCTTGCTGTTGGGGGAGACTTATAATTTAGTAGAAGGGGGCAGAGAAGTCAGTGAAGAATAATGAAGTAAGGAGAATGAGAGAGACTTAAAAGTCCAGAAAGAGATGGTTCAAAGAGTTCAGCAGTCAGTAACGTTAAATGCTGTCCATGTGGGAGTCACTAGTTATACGTAATACATAAAACTGCACTGGAATTTCTAACATCAACAGGATTTTTGCAAATCTTCTATTTTACACATGGAATTCAATTCATGTCAAGCTTTCATACAGTATAATATCTTCAGTCCAGGTACAAGGCATTGGTTAAATCAGTGTTGGCTTTGTGGACAGTTTATGGGTTTGCTATTTATTTGATGCTAGCATTTGATTTTACCCACAACTCGTCAACTATGTCATGTAATTTCTCTTTGATTGCTTATTCCTCCTCCACTTTTCTCTGCATGTGCAGTTACCATGACCTATTTTAATGCCTTTAACAAACTACAGCACAGTAATACCAGTGTCGTGCTTCAATTTTCTAGGTGAAAAGTCTGGATGAGAGACTCACATGGATCTGTTGGGCTTGCTCCTTGTCTTCAGGAGTAGAGAGGGAAGAAGTATGGCAGCTGTTGATGGCCTTGGTTATGAACCCCCGGCCCTGGGCATACCGTTTATCCTAGAAATGATCAAGCAAATTCAATTAGTTGGAGTTGTTTGAATATTGAATTCATGAATCCATTACCAGAATGTTAGTACATTTGATAGACAGGATTTTTTTTTTTCTTTTTCCAAATGAGAGCCATGTAAACATTGAAACTAAAGAATTAGGAAAATAGCCCCTTTCCCTACTTCTTTTTCCATTATCTCTATAAACTCATTTTTATTTTTATCTAACTTTTCTAAATTCCAACTTCTTCCCTTCTTTTAAATTCTCTTATTTAATGTCACCCTTTACTCAAGTTACTATTTGGAGAGCAAATACCAAAAATAGAAAAAAGGATGAAGCAGTAAGTGTTTTAATTTAGTACTTAATATTTGAGCCAAATGCCATAGCACATATGGACCTATTTAACTGCTGAATATCTTGCTTGCTGTGGGCCGGAGTTGATGTGTTTCTCTTAATAGGCATTATACAATTATAACTTTTGTTTGATTAACCTCTGAATCCACATGCCTTGGACCTTACTGTGTTCATTATAGATGCTGAATGCAATATTGTTGACTGTGACAAAAGGCAGAGAAAAGAGGGTATATGATTTTAGCAATTGACAGAAAAAGAATAGAAAAAAAATTAGCTAATACATTAATGAAGAAAAAATAACCTTTAGCAAAATGTTGTGAAAATTTAAAGGATTACTAGAAAGATTTGGAAGTGAAAAGATGGCCAGTCAAAAATGGAGGACAAAAGAAAAATCAGTAAGTGTGTAAAAATAACTATGCGAACATATATTGCAAACACTGAGCCACGTTCTCTATGCAGTCCCTTTGATTGACTGAAGCAGTAATCTATCATCTGCTTCTTGACTGACCTAAAAAAGTTAACATGCAACTTTCAAAGGTAAATTAATCGGAAAGAAAAAAATTGTTTCTACTTCTAAACCACCGTTTCTGTTGTAATTGTAAACCTATATATTGGAAATATTAGAACAATGATTCCTAGCATTTTGGGGGTGTCTGAAAAGGCATTATTATTTGTTTTCCTGATATGGAATTTAGCTTAATTTAATGTTGTTTAATCCACCCAGTTCGCTACAGTGCAGTTCTCATTTGTTGGGTATCTACAATGTGCTAGCAGGGCTTCAAACTGGTTCAAACCCCTGCCTCGAACCCCTGCCGATAATTTGCATTTCTAACAAGTTCCCTGCTGAGAATTTGCATTTCCACCCCAGATATACTGAATTAGAATCTACAGTTTAACAAGATCCCCAGGTGATTCTTATATATAACTTCGTGGGAACTTGTTAGAAATGCAAATTTTCAGCAGGGGTTTGAACTGGAAGGAACTGGTTTGAAGCCCTGTGTGATAGATGAAGTATGACTGGAGAGACATGGCCCTTATGTGCAAGAGCAAGAAATCAACACTCTTCCTTTTCCTCAGTCCCACCTGAAGGTACTTTATGTCAAGTGTTTAAAAATATATTTAAAAATTTTACAATAAAGTGAACTAGAAGGAAATTTTAAAAAATCATTTTTATACTTTTTGAAAAAATTGGAACACTGAGATGCCATGAACTTGTCCCTTGCTTCTTGTTCCACATTTCTTTAGCTTATGCCTTCTTTCACCTTAAAACCAAATCGGTTGCAGCTGAGTTGATTCTGACTCATGGCGACCCCTGTATGTCAGAGTAGAACGGTGTTCCACAGCGTTTTCAATGGCTGACTTTTTGGAAGTAGATCACCAGGGCTTTCTTCCAAAGTGCCTCTGGGTAGGCTTGAACCTCCAACCTTTTGGTTAACACGTTAACCATTTGCACCACCCAAGGACTCCTTTTTTTTACCTATTAAGTTGTGTTATTTGAAATGTGGCTTATGAAATTTTCTACTATAAAATTTGCAGCCCTATCATTCCTTCTGGGAGGAAGGGAGAAGTGCAGTACTTACAAATTCGCTGAACATTTCTGAGGAGAGATTATGGATGTAGTGAGACAGGATGACTGCACGATCAAACAGGTCCCGGAGGGACACCTGGCAGTTGACAGCCCCGCTGGGACAGATGGGCAGAGCGGCCACGCTCTTGCATAGGAGCAGGTTTGACACCAGCAGCAGCAGCAGCAGGAGTGACCCTGCTTAAATTAAAACAGGAGCCATGCTGAGACGATCTATTCAGCCGAGGTTATCAAAAGCAATCTTGAGGAAGGAAGCCTTATTGCTCCCATTGCCCCCAGCTGCATGATTTGGCACTGTAATAGCTGAGGCGGGAAGAATCAACACCTTCCACTGTGTAAATTTAGATATATAATTATATTTGCACAGATTTATAGTTTGAGAAGTAGGTTACTCCATGCATTTTTGTATTGCTCCCAGAAGTGCTTCTGTACTTAGCAAACGTTTGGAACTTAAATTAATTTTGAGCCAGGGTGTTTAGGTCATTCTCTTAAGATAGTTTAATATCCTGGGAGTTTCTGCAGCATTTTCAGCAGCAGAGCTCTCTAGGAGTTTGCAATTTTTTAACTTTATGTGCCCAAAATACTTGCACATTAGACACTGAAATGACAAGAAGAGCACCATTAATCAGTTTGTTTTTATCTTCATGACGGATAAGAATAAACATATGACTGATGGATTGCTAATAGTGTGAAGAGAATTCTAATAAAAATGATGCTGTAGCCTGCATCTGATAAATTACCATAATAATCCCATGGGTTTGCTTGAACATTTTACCAAAGGCTTTTAAAGTTTTTCTCATGTGAACTTTACAATAACCCCGTGAGGTACAATGGGTCTTCCTTATAATCATCAAATTCTTTTGATGAAACAGACAGCTTATAAAGGTTAAGTGATTTTTTCCAAGTCCCTTTATTATAAGCAGGTGGAGGAGGCAGGAGGTCAATATTGTGGTCTTTTCCAGTCCACCATGTTACATCCCACACCAGTGGCTCTTGATCTGCATATGACTAACAGGGACTGTGCTTGTGGTCGCCAGGCCTCAGTGTTTGCAGAGGTCCCTGCCATTACTTGTCAAGAACAACACTTTGCCCTTGATTATGTGATAACAGAGGCCCTAGGAAGCTTGATTTAGCTCACTTTTTCTGCTCTATCTATAAAACACCCACTTTTTGTGCAACAGTGATCAGAGACAATAAAATATTAATAATTTACACTTTCAAAAGGAAACACTATGTAGCTAGTAGATTAAAATCAGTTTTTCACTTCCTTGAAACTACTCCAAAAGAATATCTGATATAAATACGTATTTATGATAAACTAATTTTCCGTGGAAACTTCAATAAATGCAGTTGGGAATGCCCAAGATAAAACTAGGCAAGTGCTAAGGATTTATGTGTGAAAAAAATGCCTAAACATAAATTGTGTATAGAATGTAACAAAATAACCCTTTAAATGCAAAATACAAAAATCAATGTTGTGAGATAACTCATATAATAGATTTCTAATTTTCCAAAAACATCATACTTCTGAAAAATTTATTTTATACATGTTATAGTCGTATAATTGCAGCTGAATGGATATTTTATCTACATGTGTAAATAAAACGAGCATTGTAGGTCGAGAAATTGGAATATTGACTCTAGGAAATTAATATAATTGGATAGATTTTTTTTTTTTTAACTCTGAGTGCCTTTGCATCAGCATCATCTGAAGGATTCTCACAATGTAAGATGAGATAAAATAGGCAAAGGTTTTTGTTTTTGATTCAGAAAATAAATGTTATGATTGTCACTAATTTCCATTCCTTGCAAATGTCACCCAAGAAAGTAAAGGCAATCAGTTATTACTAGCCTCGTTTTTCTATTAAAATGTCATTTGGTTTAAGCCAAATTGACGAAGTAGTACAAGAGACACTGCTGCTATCACTTTCTATGTTATGGCTTCAGAACTGAAAGTTTTCATCAGACTGATTCAACTTTGCCAAGCTGCATAAGAGTTCTGGGAGCGAGAAAATGTTAGTTTCTGCCTTCTGGAGATATAAAAAATTGGACCCATAGGGTCTTATGGTCTTTTTCTAGTCCAAGGCTTCTCAACCTTGACATTTGGGGCTGCATAATCCGTTTTTGTGGAAGGGTATCATCTGCATTGTCAGTTGTTTAACAGAATCCCTGGCCCTTGCCCACCAGATACCAGTTATGACAACCAAAAACATCTCCAGACGTTGTCCAGTTTCTCCTGGGGTGGAAAAATCACCCCTGGTTGAGAACCACTGTTCTTTTCTAGTGTGTCCATATATAGCTGCTTTCCAAAAGCTTCTAAAAGGTGTAAATCTGAAGCCTTTTGCTAACAGAAAATAAGCTAAAATTTCACATTAATACCCCTAAAGGAGTATTGATAAAGCCAACAACTGGATGAATTGTTGCACATACCTTTTGGTGATGACCCTTTGCTGTCCATAGTGGTGATAATCACAGGAAACACCCTTCACCAGAGTAGAGCTGGAACTCCACAGCTTTCCCTTTCCCAGATACAGACTTTATAAGCCTTTGACATCTTCATGAATCTATTAATCAGGCATTCCTTCCCTTTACCTGATTATCCATTTCCGTCATCGAGATTACCCCCATTATTTCAAACATCAAATGGTATTTTATTTCTTATTCATATTCAGGAAGACATACTGGCCAGAAATGAACATTCTAGGAAGGATTTTGATTAATTAGACCAAAAGGAAATGAGAGAAATGATGACGGTGAGATCTGGAGACTAGTTTAGGTTAGAAGATCTGTAAAACTACAGAAGTCATTTACTTTAAAATTTATCTTTTTTTCTCTGCAGCTTCTTGAATATATAGCATTATGTTTCACTGAGGTGATAGTTTTGAGTATTGTCAAAGGGTTAATCAAGATTTCTAGGTGAAGTCAAGATTTCAAAATTGGCACTCTAAAACTAGGAAAGATACAATAAGAATTGAAAAAGTAGAATTTTCAGTTCCCGTTACATTCTCATTACGTTTCCCTAATTTTTTTTCTTGCGTTTTTACACATTCTGATTTGTCTTTTTTAAAAAATGGCATGTATGAACGGAGCTTGTTTTATAATGTGTATTGCCCTCTGTTTATCTCTTTTAACACTGTATAAAGTTGGATTATTATCCCCAGTTTACAGATTAAAGAACAGAGGTTTAGGGAAATTAAATGACAAGGATATAGAAGAAGCAATTAGTCAAGTTAGACCCTGGAGGGATTATTTCTTTTTCTTATCAATTCTTCTTCTTTTTTTTTTTAATTGTACTTTAGATGAAGCTTTACAGAACAAAAAGTTTCTCATTAAACAGTTAGTACACATATTGTTTTATGACAATGGTTAACAACCCCATGACATGTCAACACTGCCCCTTCTCAACCTTGGGTTCCCTATTACCAGCTTTCCTGTCCCCTCCTGCATTCTAGGCCTTGTCCTTGGACTGTTGTGCCTTATTAATCTCTTTTTGTTTTATGGGACTGTCTAATCTTTGGCTGAAGGGTGAACCTCAGGAGTGACTTCATTACTGAGCTAAAAGGGTATCCGGGGGCCATACTCTTGGGGTTTCTCCAGTCTCTGTCAGTCCAGTAAGTCTGGTCTTTTTTTGTGAATTAGAATTTTGTTCTACATTTTTCTCGAGCTCTGTCCCGGACCCTCTGTTGTGATCCTGGTCAGTGCAGTCATTGGTGGTAGCCAGGCACCGTCTAGTTATACTGGACTCAGTCTGGTGAAGGTGGTAGTAGTTGTGGTCCATTAGTCCTTTGGACTAATCTTTCTGGAAGGATTATTGCTTTAACAGATATCAGGAGGGTTGTGAGGAAGGTTGGAAAATGAGCCATTTATCAAATATTGCTGTATACCCACCCTGTGTTCTAAAATGAACAGGACATCACCTCTGACCTTAGAGAGTTTATTTTGGGGAAGCTATATAGTGGTTTTCAAAGGCAAACATACACATGCACATACACATCCTAATATATGATATAGTAAACCAAAATTCTAGCTAATCATTCCTACTGTCCTCAAGGGTAATAATGGATAACCTGTTATTAACTTATGATCACTTTACCTTCTCTGACTCGGAGCCATTCTGGGGCTAACGTGACAAAAATTCATTTTTCGTGGCCTCAAAAGTTCCATTCACCTTTGAAAGATTTCCTACATGAAATGATTATAATGAATAAGAACTGAGTTGTTGACGATTTCTCTCATTTTGAAGTCCATGTGGTGGGCAAGTAAAGCAGCTTGTGACCTTTAATTTAGATTTACCGTATGTCTCTTAGAGTACACTGTGACGGATGAGATCATTAAAAAATAATCACTTATTATAGCGTTTACTTTTTCTATTGTTGCTCAGGCCACATATGTACTTTAGCAAGTACCTGATTAACTGCTCTTATGGGGTCCTAGAAATCTTAACAAAGACTAAATTTACTGAAAAACTGTCTTCCTCACTGCCTTTGCTTAAACAGTCCTAGATTTTGAATTATAAACATGATGACTTAGAGGCTCTATCACTCTAGAGGAGCCCTAGTGGCACAGTGGTTAAGAGCTCATCTGCTATCCAAAACGTGGGCAGTTCGAATCCACCAGCCACTCCTTGGAAACCCTGTGGGGCAGTTCTACTCTGACCTATAGGGTCGCTTGGAGTCAGAATCTATTTGACGGCAACAGGTTTGGTTTTTTTTTTTTTTTGGTTTATCACTCTAAAAGCTGGGTCAGGATTCCATACATTCATACTAGTTCTGCATTTTTACCCTCAGATGGTGAAAGTCTGAATTATTAAGAGAGCAGGGCAGTGTGGTAGAGAAATTAATACTGCCCTGTGTTCCCCTCCTCTCCTAGAAACTCAAGAATAAAAAAGCCTGTCATAAGAACTGACAACTTAATCTTAAAATTTAAAGGTGTTGCAGCTTTTATAGATAGCCAGGATAAGAATAACCTGAGAAAATCTGAGTTGTGATTTCTCAGCAGAGGCCCACTGACTCCAAAGAGGTATGTATTGCTGTAAAATTTATCGTGTGCTTCCTTGCTGATCCATAGTCCGACAATTCCTGTTTACAGGATATTACAATATCTAAATAATGCAAAAGTCATATTTTATGCAAAAGTCAGAGTTGTCTCTCTTTTTTCTAACTGCTATATGTGTTACTTATATGTCACTTATACGTGTAAGCGCAAAAGCTGGAACCCGTGTGAGGCAGAAACTTGTCAGAGAAGGAAAACTCAAATATTTTCCACTGAAACAAGTGATAGAAAAGAGATTAGACACCTTGTCAAAGACAGATGAAAAACCTGAGACTCTAGAAAGACAAGGCAGTCCTGTCAAGTTCCAGCTCTCACAGGTTTCACTGTATCTATTTCTGTTGTGGTCTTCTGTATTGTATGTACTCTTTTGCAGGCCTTCCTCCTTATCAAACTAAAAAAAAAAAAGTTTATCAAACTTCCTCTTTATCAAATCTAAATTCTCTCAAATGTGGAATAATAAAGAAGTTCACTAAAAATGGACTTGTCTGATTTGTTTGCAAAAATTCATTTGTTTGCCATTTTTCATTTGAGGACATATAGTTAAACTAAGTGCTGGTGATTGAGTAGCTGAATAAATAGCTCAAATGATGCTAAAGTCCACATTCTCTTTTTAGTACCTAAAACTAATAAGCCATTTTACCATCTTTTCTAAATACTTCTAATTTTTAACATTGAATAACATCAGGTTGGTTTTCATTCCTAACTAGGAATGAAGTTTATATTTTCTTATGTTTACCTGTTTTTAATTTTGGAATATTTTTGTCTTTTCTTCTGTAATTTACACAAAAATATTTAAAATGATTCACATAACTTGAAAGGTGTCTACTGCAAGATATAATGGAAACTATTAAAGGATGAAAGAAATTAAGAGGATTAAAAAATCGTCAGAAAAATATTTCATTATATACTAGTAATAAATTATCTTTAATAAAGTGAAATTTGCAAAGGACTAAATACATGTTTTTTATTGATTTATATATTCCAAACAGCCACTTTCCAAAATTTAGACTGCAAGATCAGATAGCATATATGTTGTTTTCAATATAAAGTAATCAGAAAATGTTAAGGGCATACTGGGGACAGGATCAATCATAATGGTGCTTTCTTGAATGGCTCTGTTTCAGGATGGGCAAAATTTAACAATTTAATTTTATCCTACTATTTAGATTAACTTCATGCATATTAAGACATACACTTTCTTTCCCCTAAATTCCGTATTCAACTCTTGTTTCTTATTGAGGCTTTACAGATCATCAGCGTCCCTAAGTGATCCCAGAACCCAAATTCTTAACCCTTTGGCAGTGTTTTGAGGGCATTTGATCCTTAAATAAGAAAGCCACAGTGGGAGCATTTGGAAATTTCTCCAGTGATTGCTATGTTGTTGTTGCTTGTTTGTGTTTAACTGATACAACGTTCATATCCTCTGAACTGGTTGAGTTCTGTGTGTTAGCTTATCCTACAGGTTTCTTGTCACATGCTTATTCTGAACCATCCGTACCTTTGGACACATTTTAGTGACCAATGTAAGACAACAAAGTAAACATAAACAACAACAAAAAATATAAAAGTAGAGGCCAGAACAAAATCAAACAAAATGACTCAATTTCTGTAAAAATGTTAATTCCAGTTAGATGCTGTATACAAGTGATATATCTAAAACAGTGGTGTTTAAAGGGCAGTGGTGGTGGTGGTGTTGATTTTGCCTCCCAAGCGACATTTGGAAATCTCTGAAGACATTTTTGATTGTTATAACTGAAAGATGGGGGTGCTACTGGCAATATAGCCACGAATGCTGCTAAACATACTACGATGTGCAGGACAAACCCAAAACAAAATTACCATGCAATCCAAAATGTTAATAGCAATGCTATTGAAAAACCCTGATCTAAAATGCAGTACTGAAAAACAGTTAAAAGAGCTCTGGTGGCCCAGTGGTTAAGCACTCGGCTGCTGGAAGGTTGGTGGTTCGAATCCACCAACCGCTCAGTGGGAGAAAGATATGACAACTTGCTTGCCCAAACGGCCTTGGAAACCCTATGGAGCAGTTCTATTCTGTCTTACAGGGTTGCTATGAGTTAGAATCAACTCAGTGCAATTGGTTTTATTTTGGTTAAGTACAATAAAACCCTATCAAACAAATTATTTGAAATTTCTGGAATAGTATTATTAAAACTATTTAATAATAGTAATAAGTTTAAATTTCAGGCAAAAAATGTTAAAAGAAGCAAAGTACAAACAGTATTTTGTGACATTAGGCACAATCTACAATGGGGATAAAGCTGTTAATAATCTTCATGCACTCAATAATAGCATCAAAACATAATGCATATATTTAGACAATGCAAGGAGAAATTAACCAAGACATAATTTCAAGCACCTGTTGAAACATCTGCAGCAAATGACATT